AAAAGGTGCCAATTTCTGAAGGTCCTAACCTTCCGCGGAAAAATGAAGACAGCCAAGACAGAACAGAAGGAAGACAGAAGTACTCTGTCTCTATCCCTGCCCCACTCTTTCGCCACCCCTAGTATGGGGCAGAGGCTCCACTTTTAATCTTATGTCTAAATAGCACTTATCACAGCAAACTTGAACAGCTTGTATGCTTCTCTTTCTCCCCTATTAGACTGCGAACTTCTTTTTTTTTTTTTTTAAGATTTTATTTATTTATTTGAGAGAGAGAGAGCGAGCACATGAGACAGGGGGAGGGTCAGAGGGAGAAGCAGACTCCCCGCCGAGCAGGGAGCCCAATGCGGGACTCGATCCCGGGACTCCAGGATCATGACCTGAGCCGAAGGCAGTCGCTTAACCAACTGAGCCACCCAGGCGCCCTAGACTGCGAGCTTCTTGAGGGTAGAACCCAGCACGGTACCGATGCTGCTGGCTGGACAAACGGACGAACCACACTAAATCTGGTTTACATCATCAACTTCATAATGAAAGCGGCTGACATTTATTAAACAGTCGCCGGATGATAGGCACAAGGTTAATACCCTATGAGGTAGGTATCATGATCCTGATTTTAAAAACATCGAGGCTAAGTTCAGAAATGGCCCAAGGCAACTCAGCTAGTGAATGACGGAGCCAGGCTTAGAAGCCAGACCACAGGACTTCAGAACCCGTGTTCTTAACCACTACACCTCCCCCCTCCCTTCCAAGTTTCGCCTTAGCAGTAAAATCCCATGATTCTGCAGAGGGAGAATTCGGGTAGAACTCAAACCAGTGGGAAAGTCCCTAGTAGGGCTGTCGGGATTAGGAAGCTTTGAAAGCAAAGGGAAAAGTGCAAAGAGAGGCACATCCGGCAGAGTGAGGGAACTTAGTGAGGACAGCTGAAAACACGCCAGTCTTTGCAGGCAAGTGCTAGTGTGCGAACAGCTCACGGTACTGATATCACCCTTTGAAGCACGCAAGAAGGTGACATAACGTCAAGTCTCAAAGACAGGGGTCACAGACGAACATAATGGATTAAGGGCGGGGGTCTGTGCTCTGGGACTACTGGGAAAGGCGAGGGTTTATTGGCTTGAGATCGATGTCTTACTCAATCCATCAAAATGTTTATTCACTTATTCATTTACCGGTCAAGTATTTATAAAGTGTCGACTGTATTCCAGGGACTGTCCTAGGCGTGGGGAATATATCCACAAACAAGACAAATAAGCATGAGATAATAAACACATAAGAAAATACCAGGTAGTAATGGGCGCCTGGGTGGCTCAGTCGTTAAGCGTCTGCCTTCGGCTCAGGTCGTGATCCCAGGGTCCTGGGATCGAGCCCCACATCTGGCTCCCTGGTCAGCGGGAGGCCTGCTTCTCCCGCTCCCACTCCCCCTGCTTGTGTTCCTGCTCTCGCTCTCTCTCTCTCTCTCTCTCAAATAAATAAATAAAAATCTTAAAAAAAAAAAAAAGAAAATACCAGGTAGTGACAAATGCTATGACACACAGGGTGATGGAGTGACTTTAGGACGGGAAGGTTTTTCTGAGGAAGTGATTTATATGAGACCTGAATTACAGGGCCCCAAATACACCGAGATCATGGGAAAGAGCACTTGAGGTGAAGGAACAGCTAGAACAAAGGCCTTCAGGAGGGAATGAACTTGGTATGTTTAGAATATAAACAAAGAAAGTGTGGTGTGGAGTGAACTGGGAAGAAAGTGGTATTTGTATACTCAGAGTATACAGGACCATGATATATGGACCCCGTAAGCCTGGGTAGAGAGACAAGGGCTTTAGTAGGAGAGATGCAGAAATGGAGTTAGATGCAGGGTATATTTTGGAAGTAGAGACAAGGATTTATTGAAGAAATGAATGTGCGAGTGAGATAGCAAGAAATCAAGGCTAATGCCTACTTTTTTTGAGCTCCTGGATAGGTGGTAAATAACTCAGTAAGTTATTGAGGGCCTACCATATACAAAAAATTATAGTTAGTGGTCTCTGCTCTGCCCGTTTAGCTACATTTGTGGAAATTAAAGCCCCTGTCCATAATTTATGGATAGGAATTGATGACAATAGTGAAGGCAAAGGGTTTTAGGTTAATGTGTCTTTTAAAAAAAATTATAAGGACTATAGACAATATAGTTAGTTTTTTAATAATTTATATTGAGTAGTTAGGGAAGGCCTCTCTGAAGAAGTGACATTTGAAGTGAGACTTGAAAGACAAATAGAAGTTACCCAGGTAAATAGAAAATCAGGTTTCTAGAAAAATTTGAGGTTTTAAACAGACAATACAAGTATTCTCAAGGTAATTTAAATTCACTCTCTCCCCTGACTTCCATTTTAGTATTACTTGGTGGACTACTTATGGGTGATATTTAGTTCTTGGTTGCTATGGGGGTTGAACGGTGGTCCCCTAAAATATATGTCTATATCTTAACCCCTAGAACTTGTGAATGTGACTATGTTTGGAAGAAGGGTCTTTGCAAATGTAATTAAATTAAAGATCTCGAGATGAGATCTGGGCTAAGGATTACCCAGGCAGACCCTAAATCCGACGACAAGTGTCCTTTTAAGAGATACAGAGAAGAAAGACATGGCGAGAAGGAGGGGCAGGCCATGTAAAGACAGAAGCAGTGACTGGAGTTCTGCAGCCATGAGCCAAGGAATGACTAGAGCCATGAGAAGCTGGAAGAGGCAAGGATTTCCCCACCGAGCTTCAGATGGAGCATAGCCCTGCCAACATCTTGATTTCAGATTTGCGGCCTTCAGAACTGTGAGAGAATAAATTTCTGTTTTTTTAAAATCACCATGTTTGTGGTAATTTGTTATGGCAGCCCTAGGAAATTAATACACTTGGCTTCTCCCTGCTACTTAGTATGAATCTAGGCCAGCTTCCCCTAGATATCTACCGTTTTACACCCAGGCAATCCAAAGTTACACAGATAAAACAAACCAAGAAGTCAAAACAGATGCTAAATACCATATATCTCAAAGCCAAACATATATTTGGATGTCAGATGTGACTATAATTTTTAACACTGTCTCTATTAGCAAGGATAATGAGGCATGGATTATATGGAGACTAAACATCCCAGGAAATGGCCTGAAGTCATAAACACTGTCTTTTTTTTTTTTTTTAAGATTTTATTTATTTATTTGAGAGAAAGAATGAGAGAGAGCACATGAGAGGGGGGAGGGTCAAGGGAGAAGCAGACTCCCTGCCGAGCAGGGAGCCCGATGCGGGACTCGATCCCGGGACTCCAGGATCATGACCTGAGCCGAAGGCAGTCGCTTAACCGCCTGAGCCACCCAGGCGCCCTCTTTTTTTTTTTTTTAACCACTAGGTTGCACTTTCCTTTGCCACCACTACCCTGAATCATTCTATTTTATGCACCCTATAATTTTAACATAGACAGTGATTCATCCAGGATAATTGTTCTTTAAAGCAATTCTACTGTCTTTAGTTGAGCTTTTCAAAAAGGTATGAATATATAAAGAGGAACTTATTAATTTTATTTTTACAACAAATTATGATTTTAAATCTTATATCTTCAGATTTTCAGATGCTGTCAAATCCGTTTTGTGAAACAGAGCAATAGAACCAAAGCTATTCTGGAGAAATAACCCTGTGATATTACACAAACATACATAACCTCTATGATACCATTAGTTTTTTTTCCAAGGGATTCTACAAAGGTCAGAGGAGGTATTCTTTTAAATAAACAAATAAGCAAACAAGCAACTGTTCTTTAAAAAAACCTATGTGGATTAAGAAAATGAAGTAAAAGGCATCTAGTCTGGAAAGGAAGAAGTAAAATATTCTCTATTTGCAGGTGGCATCATTTTATATTAGAAAATCTTAAGGAATCCACTGAAAAGTGCTGAAAAAGCAAGATTGTGTTTATAAAACCTGTCAGTGCTTTGGAGAGATTTAAAACTTACACATTGCAGTACCCAACAGTGAAATAAAGACATTGTCAGATCAGCCAAAATCTAAGAGAATTTATTGCTAGCAGGTCTGTACCATAAGGAATGACAAAAGAAGTTCTTCAGACTGATGAGAAATGATACCAGATAAAAGTTTAGATACTCAGGAATAAGTGAAAAGCACTCAAAGTGGTAAATACAAGTAAATGGTAAATGTGGGTAAGTGTAAAAGATTATTTTTTTCCCGTAATTTCTTTAAAAAAAACTGTTGGAAGCAACAATCCTAATATTGTATCATAGGGATTATAACATACAGAAGAAACACAAATGACAACCATAGCATAAAACATAGGGTGATGGTAAATGGAACTATTTGACTGCAAGCTTCTTACATTTCACTGGAAGTGGCACAATATTAACTTTAAGTGAACTGTGAAACATTATCTAGAGAAACCATTAAGATATGAAATGCAAAGAGATATACCTAAAAGGCCGCCAGGTCCAATTATATGTCTAGAAGAGATGCACTTATCTAAAGACACAGATAGCTGGAACATAAAAGAATAGAAAAAGACATACTACGCAAATAATAACCATAAAAAAAGCTGGAGTAATTATACCACTATCAGATAAAGTAGATTTCAAGAAAAGGTGTATTACTAAAGATAAAGGGGGAACATTTTTTTTTCTTTATTCTTTTTTAAAGATTTATTTATTTATTTGACAGAGCGAGCACAAGCAGGGGGAGCAGCAGAGGGAGAGGGAGAAGCAGACTCCCCGCTGAGCAGGGAGCCCAACGCGGGACTCGATCCCAGGACCCTGGGATCGTGACCTGAGCCGAGGGCAGATGCCTAACCGACTGAGCCACCCAGTCACCCCAAAAGGGGAACATCTCATAATGATAAAAGGGTCAGTTCATCAGGAAAGCACAATAATCCTAATCAATAAATGTGTATGCACTTAATACCAGAGCTCAAAATTCATGAAGCAAAGACTGACATCACTCAAAGGAAAAACAGACAGATCCACACATCATATGCGGAGATTTTCTTTTCTTTTTTATGCTTCAAGAATTTGTATGTCATCCTTTGCAGGGGCCATGCTAATCTTCTCTGTATCGGTCCAATTTTAGTATCTGTGCTGCCGTAGCAAGCATGACATGTGGAGATTTTGACATCCTTCTCTCGCTAATTGATAGAGCAACTAGACAAAAAAGTCAGTAAGGACGTAAATGATCTGAACACTATCAACCACCTTGACCTGACATTTTTACAACACCATACTCAAAAGTGCAGAATATACATTTTTTTCAAGTGTATTGAAACATTATTTAAAAAACTAACCATATGCTGAGCCATAAAACAAGTTTCAATTTTTAAGAACTGAAATTTTAGAGTGTGTTCTCTGACTACTATAGAATTAAATCAGAAATAAAAAACATGAATATATCTAGAAAAAACAATATTTGGAAATTTAAAAACATACTTTTAAGTAACACAAAGACAGTCTCTTCAATAAATGGTGCCAGGAAAATTGGACAGCTATATACAAAAGAGTGAAACTCGACCATTCTCTAACATCATACACAAAAATAAACTCAAAATGGATGAAAGACCTCAATGTGAGACAGGAATCCATCAAAATCTTAGAGGAGAACATAGGCAGTAACCTTGACATCAGCCACAGCAACTTCTTTCAAGACATGTCCCCAAAGGCAAGGGAAACAAAAGCGAAAATGAACTTTTGGGACTTAATCAAGATAAAAAGCTTCTGCACAGCAAAGGAAACAGTTAACAAAACAAAGAGGCAATCCACAGAATGGGAGAAGATTTTTGCAAATGACACTCCAGACAACAGGCTGATACCCAAGATCTATAAAGAACTTCTCAAACTCAACACCCAAAAAACAAATAATCAAGTCAATAAATGGGCAGAAGACATGAACAGACACTTCTCTGTAGAAGACATACAAATGGCTAACAGACACATGAAAAATGTTCATCATCATTAGCCATCAGGGAAATTCAAATCAAAACCACATTGAGATACCACCTTACACCAGTTAGAATGGCAAAAATTGATAAGGCAAGAAACAACAAATGTTGGAGAGGTTGTTCGAGAAAGGGGAACCCTCTTACACTGTTGGTGGGAATGCAAGTTGGTACAGCCACTTTGGAAAACAGTGTGGAGGTTCCTCAAAAAATTAAAAATAGAGCTACCCTATGACCCAGTAATTGCACTACTGGGTATTTACCCCAAAGACACAGATGTAGTGAAAAGAACGGCCATATGCACCCCAACGTTCATAACAGCAATGTCCACAATAGCCAAACTGTGGAAAGAGCTGAGATGCCCTTCAACAGATGAATGGATAAAGAAGATGTGGTTCATATATACAATGGAATATTACTCAGCCATCAGAAAAGATGAATACCCAACTTTTACATCAACAGGGATGGGACTGGAGGAGATTATGTGAAGTGAAATAAGTCAAGCAGAGAAAGTCAATTATCATATGGTTTCACTTATTTGTGGAACATAAGGAATAGCATGGGGGACATTAGGAGAAGGAAGAGAAAAATGAAGGGGGGGAAATCGGAGGGGGAGACAAACCATGAGAGACTATGGATTCCGAGAAACAAACTGAGGGTTTTAGAGGGAAGGGGGGTGGGGGGATGGGTTAGCCCAGTGATGGGTATTAAGGAGAGCACATACTGCATGGAGCACTGGGTGTTATAGGCAAACAATGAATCATGGAACACTACATCAAAAACTAACGATGTACTGTATGGTGACTAACATAACATAATAAAATAAAAAACAATGAAAATGCAAAAATAAGTAAATAAATATTTCTAGCATATATGAAAAGAAAAAGTAAAATAAATAAAAAATAAAACAACAACAAAAAAAGAAAAATAAATAAATAACACATGGGTCACCTGAGACAACACAGAGAAAATCAGGAAATATTTCAAACAGGATGATCAAAATACAACATAACAAAATATGTGGGATATAGATAAAACCATGTTTAGAAATAAATTTATAGCTTCAAAGCTTATCTTGGAAAAGGTAGGTAAAGGGGGCCTGGGTGACTCAGTCGGTTAAGTGTCTGTCTGCTCAGGTCATGATTCTGGAGGCCCCGGATCAAGCCCTACGTTGGGCTCCCTGCTTAGCGGGGAGTCTGCTTCTCCCTCTCTCTCTGCTTCTCCCCCTGCCCCCACCCGCTCGTGCTCTTTCCCTCTCAAATAAATAAAATCTTTAAAAAAAGAAAAGGTAGGTAAAGTTCCATCATAAGCTAGAAAAAAAAAGCAAAGTAATGTATACTACAAAGTCAAAAATTGGTTCTTTGAAAAAGTTTAACAAAATGGCCAAACCCCTAGATAGACTAAGTAAGAAAAAAAACAAGATAGAGTTGTAATTCACCAATGTTAGGGTGAAAAGGTGATTTCAGATTCTACAGATTCTAGACGGTGAAAGGATAATAATGGAATATTATGAGCAACTTTTTGTCAATAGATTCAATAATTTAGATGAAATGGGAAAATTCCTAAAAAAACACAACTTAGCAAAATTCACACAAGATAAAACATAAACTCTGAATACCTGTGTATTTATCAAAGAAACTAAATTACCAAAACCTTCCCACAAAGAAAACTGCAGGCCCAGATAGTTATATTGTTGAATTCTATCAAAATATTCAGAAAGAAAGAACAGTAATCTTACACAAACTCTTTCTGAAAATAAAGGAGAAAAATCTCCCTGATTCATTTTATGAGAACAGTATAGTCTGATACAAAACCTGAAAAGATATTACAAAAAAGAAAATTATTGACCATTATCCCTTAATATTTAATAAAATGTTAGTAAATAAAATCTAGCAATATATAAAAAGCCTAATAATACATTATTACAAAGCTGGGTTTATTTCAGGACAATAAGGGATAATCCTATCCCTTAATATGGTAATCCATCATATTAACAAAATAAAGGAGAAAAGTCATATAATCATTTATATATATATATATATATATATATACACACACACACATAGGGAAAGTATCTGATAAAACTCAATAGCCACTGATGATAAAAACCTTTTTTTAAATTAGGAAGGGAAAGGAATTTCCTTAATCTGATAATGAGCATCTACAGTCTAATATCCAACTCAATGATGAAATATTGAATGTTTTCCCCCTAAAATTTGGAAGAAGTCAAGGATCAAGGATGCCTTCTCTTACTACTTGTATTCAACATCATACTGGTGGATAAGTGCAACAAGGCAAGAAAAAGGGCATAAATCTCAAAAAAGAAGAGGTGAAACTATCTCTGTTTGCAGGTGACAACTGCTTACACAGAGAAACCTAATGGATCTATGAAACAACTAGAAGAGTAAGTGAATTTTAGCAAGATTGCAGAATACAAGATCGATATACAAAAATCAATTGTATTTTAATAACAGCAGCAAATAATTGGAAAATGAAATAAAATTCCATTTATAATAGCATCAAAACCATAACATACTTAAGCATAAATTTCTAAAAATATGTATACTTAATACTACAAAACCACTGCTGAGAAAAATCTAAGAAGATCTAAAAAAATGGATATAATATGCTCATGAATCGGAAGACTCAATATCACTAATATGTCAATTCTCTCCAAATTAATATATAGTCAATGTTATTGTAATCACAATCCCACCTCTTTTTTTTTTTTTTTAAGATTTTATTTATTTATTTGAGACAGAGAGAATGAGAGAGAGAGAGCACATGAGATGGGGGAGGGTCAGAGGAAGAAGCAGGCTCCCCGCCGAGCAGGGAGCCCGATGCGGGACTCGATCCAGGGACTCCAGGATCATGACCTGAGCCAAAAGCAGTCGCTTAACCAACTGAGCCACCCAGGCGCCCCCACCTCTTTTTTTTAAAAAAGAGTTTATTTATTAGAGAGAGAGTGAGAGAGAGCGAGCATGAGTTGTAGGGGAGAGGCAGAGGGAGAGAGAGAAGCAGACTCCCAACTGAGCAAGAAGTCCAACATGGGCTTGATCCCAGGACCCCAAGATCATGGCCTGAGTTGAAGGTAGATGCTTAACCGACTGAGCCACCCAAGCACCCCAATCCCACCTCCTTTTTACATAGAAAGTGACAAGCTGATTCTAAAATTTATGTGGAAATACAAAGGACCTAAAATATCTAAAGCCATCTTGAAAAAGAAGAATGAAGTTGAGAGATTTATAATACCTGACACTTCAAGACTTTCTATAAAGCTATAGTAATCAGACTGAGTATGGGTATAGACATTATAGATAAGTGTAACAGAATAGAGAGCTCATAAACAGATCTACACTTAAAAGGTAATTTGATTTCTGATAAAGGTGCCAAAGCAAACCAATGGAGGGCTTTTTATACAAATGGTGCTGGTTCAACTGGATATCTATGTGGAATACTCTACTTCACACCATATATAGAAATTAATTTGAAATGGATCATATAAGAAGTGTAAGAACTAAAGCTCTAAAGCTTGTAGGAGAAAATATAGTAGACTATCTACACAGTTTGGGGGTAAATGTTTTATTAGGACCAGAAAGTAATAATAAAAAAATAAAAATTCAATAAATTAGACTTTAATTAGACAAAATTAAAGAAAACTTCTGCAAATGAAAAAGATACCATTAAAGAAAGTGAATGGGCAAGTCACAGTCTAGAAAAATATTCACAATATATGTATCTGATAAAGGACTAGTATCCTAGAATGTATCAAGAACTTCAACAAGTGAATAATAAGTCAAGCACCCTGATAAAAATGGGCAAAAGACTTGAATAGACACTTCACCAAAGAAGATATCTGAATGACAAGAACACAAAAGAGCTGCTCAATAGCAGAAGTCATCAAGGAAATACAAAAGAAAAACACAATGAGATGTCTTTATATACACTCCAGAATACTGCCAACTGTGGACAAGAATGTGGAACAACATGAACTGTTGTCACTGCTGATGGGAATGTAAAAAGATACACTGTGAAAAAGGGACTGACAGTTTTTTATAAACTAAATACCTTCCTCTGGACCCAGCAATTCACTCCTAGTAATTTATTCAAGGGAAATGGCAATACATGTCCTCAAAAAGACTAACACAAGAATATTCAGCTTTAT